GCTAATGTAGACAAGCTGTTCCAGGCTCATTTATCAATAAAACAGCTGCATCAGCCTCATGTGACTGACAGGGCCAATTACAGTATCACTCTCCCCAAACCTGCACCATGCTGTATCCCTGCACCTGTACCCGGCCAGGCGATGCTGCGCGTGGAGTACGACGAGTCCATGTACAACTACATCTCGTACTCGCCGGCCCGCTCCGTCAAGCCCCGCAACAGGACATTCGAGGATTTCTGCGACATTCGCGAGGAGGTGGACAGGGGCACCCAGGGCATCGCCTACCACGTCATACAGCGCTCCAGCAGTGAGCGCTCAGAGCATCACTCACCATGGCATACAAGGTCTCAGCAGTGAACGCTCAGAGCATCACTCACCATGGCACACAGGGTATCGGCAATGAACGCTCAGAGCATCACTCACCATGGCACACAGTGTCCCAGCAGTGAACGCTCAGAGCATCACTCACCATGGCACACAGGGTCTCAGCAGTGAACGTTCAGAGCATCACTCACCATGGCACAAAGGGTCTCAGCAGTGAACGTTCAGAGCATCACTCAGCACGACACACAGGGTCTCAGCAGTGAACTCCCGAAGTCTCAGCTACCACAGCACGCATGCACGTGCAGAACTACCCAGCACCGCGTTCAGGGATAACGAGAACAGCGCCTACTACTTTAATCACAAGTCCAAAAAGAAATCGTGGAGACGTACATGATACGAGCATGCAAAGTGTCGTCATCGTCACCCAAATGCATTACGATAGCGAATTTGGACTGTTCTTTTGGCTCGTGAAATAGGTAACTAGCTCTGCATTTTTTTGTTCCACTTTTGCTGTTTTTAGAATCGATCTCCCGCTTCTGCTATGATGAACACCGCCAAAAGATTTACTCAGTCGGGATGTCTGCCGGGTTATATACGCATGCCTGATGCCTGCCTAAGTACTACCCAGTGAATTTATAGCGCTCCAGCAGACAGTAACCATGCTGCATCTGAAACCGACTGCGAGCGTCTGCATTGGTGGAATTCTTAGCAGTGATTTGCCGTAGACCGAAGCTTATAAATGTTAAAATACCATTTACATGCATCCTAAGTTCCTGAGATTACGCTGGACCTTCCGCATCATCCGCGCGTGTGGATTATGCCAGTAACATCGTCGCCCTCGCCAGCTGTGCCGTGCCTGTGTGATGTCACTATTCCCGGTATGTCACCGCCCCTGCTCGCAGGCTGCAGCTTCGCGGCGAAAGCGATGAACGGCAAGGTCAACTTGCGCCAGGAGATGAACAGCGAGATGTGGATCATGAACCAGCTGCACGACCGTCAGCTGGCACGCCTGTACGACGTGTACGAGTCGCCGCGCCAGCTGATCCTCGTCCAGGAGCTGTGCAGCGGCGTTGATGTGCTGCATGTGCTCTGTCGTCAGCCCAGCTACAACAAGGCGGACGTGGCCAACGTCGTACGCCAGACGCTCCGGGGCCTACAGCACATGCATCTCAAACACATCGCACACCTCTCACTCACGGTGCGTGGAGGCGTGGACGTCATTGCGACGGCTCCATTTGTAGAGTCGCCGTAAGGTTTCAGGTCTTAGGTCTCAGGCTCCGTTAGGGCTCAGGTGTCCCCGCTTGAGGATCTCACAGAATAACTTCCGTGTCACCGGGCACGTAATGCTGAGATTATTAATGGCAGAATAATGCGACATAAATGCGACATTTGTTCACCAACTGGAAAAATGAGAATATTTCTGTTGGTAGCTCATACACAATCACCCTTCTGTCGAGGTCGTGTTCTTCATTATTCGTGTTCACATGAACGATAACGTGCATTTGCACTCTATTGTTGAACATACAGTCTTTACAACTGCCCTACGATCATTTGCTCTATCTCATGGCGCATGACGCCGCGGCCATACATGAAGGAAAAATGCCAGGACGCCCAACGCCGGACTAGCCCGAATGCGCTGAATTACGAAATGTTGAAGAGGATAATTTGTTGTCTGTCGCAACGCAGCTTAGCGTATTTTGTGTAACACCAGCCGTTTATCTGATGACGTTTGGCGACCGCTACTCAGTATCGTTTGTTTTGTTGTGGCATTTTAAGTGGTTGGGGAGAGCGAGGTTGAGCGTCTGCACACACGGCTTGGACCGCATAACGTCATTTGACACGTCACAGATCAAACCCACCGAGAGCCTGTTTCTGATGCATGATGGAATGAGCCAAGCGTCATACAGTGTCGCTTTTCCCATCATCACAGCAGTCATAGTCCCGCAGATAAATGGGGGTCCTACATTCCATAATTTTATCCAGTTAACCTTTTCGATCCATAGCTCGGAATGTCATGCCATGATGTGGTATGTCAACTGTCATGTATTTTTACGAGAACCCTCTAGCGACACTTTTCGTTTGCGTTTAGCGGGCTTAGGACTGGGTGGCTCCCTTCTATTTTAGCAGGTGCTTCTGACTTCGGAGAAGTTTGTATTACCTTGAGTGGCCTCGCACCTGCTCAACGTGTGTCTCGGCTTCCTTAATGTGTGACCCAAATCTCCCAAAAATCCAACAAAATAATCAAAAAAGCAATAAGCCTTTCTAAGTATGTTCTTTCCTTGCCATCAATGACGCCATCTGAGCTCACTTATGGCTATGGAGGGAGCATTCTTGTCAAATGCACCCTGCTGGGATTGGGTTCCGCTTCCGGTGCACGTGTGACGCCTGTGTGTATATTGGCTGACCTGCTTGTTCATGACTGTCCCAGCAAAGTACGGAGGGCCGCGAAATACATCTGCCGCCGCGGTGTCGGTACCGCCCCACGTACCGCGCCCCCTGAGGTGCCAGCACCGCACCACACCGCGACACCCTTCTTCTGCCGCAGCCGGCCGACATCCTGTTCCCGCGCCCTGGCGGCGGTGAGGTGAAGCTGATCGACTCCAGCTTGGCTTGCCACATCAACTCAGGCCGTCCCGAACGGCTCGACATCGGTAAGCATGGCTGGCGCCACCGCAGGGCGTGGTGCCGGAACGCCTCATGCCGCACCTGGTTCCGGCGGTGGCCGCTGAGCTCGGCGCTGAGCCGCCTCAGCGGCACGGTGTACCCTCCGGACGTGGCCTACACGCCGCCACCGTCGCCGGAGCCTGTGCGGCGCGATAAGAAGCCGCCGCCGGCCGCCGAGCGGGAGGACGAGCCAGTGGACCCGCTGGATGACGAGCTGGACTGGATCGGCACCGAGGGCCAGTGAGGGTGGCCGCGGGGGCGGTGACAGGGGCGACGGCAGGGGAGACGACAGGGACGACGGCAGGAAGCGACGAAAGGGCGTGTCTGGAGGTGACGACGGGAGGGGGAAGGGAGGCGAGCGGCGCGCTGGAGCGACGCGCGGGTGTCGGGCGGCAACCTGTTGAGATGTGTATCGTCATGGCTGCCGTCATCTGTGTCAGCCCTTGCCCTGGCTGTGTGGTCACCTGTAGCACTGCCACCCTCACCTTGACCTCATCGTTCTGCGTCACGAATGCCTTGCCCACGCTATCGCAGGTCATGCATCGCTAACGCCACCACTGTCATCTTGTATCCCATATTTCTCCACTGTCGCCGCTTGTTCCATTGTTTCTTCCTTAAGCTGTTAACAGGGCTACAAATGCACAGCAACCCAGTCCAAAGTCACAGCATTGCTGTTTTCAACTCCTGGCACTGTTATAAGCCATGCGCAGAGGTGTGCCACAGCTGTGTCCATTATCACCTCCCGCCGTTACCATCGCGTCCGGACGTGTGCTGCAGCTATGTCTGGTACCCCCTGCAGTTACCAGCGGCACCTTGGCGTGTGCTGCTGCTATGTCTGGTACCCCATGCAGTTACCAGCAGCACCTTGGCGTGTGCCGCCACTATGTCTGGTACCCCTGCAGTTTAGGAGGTGAGTTTATAGTATTCTCGGGCCAACAGGACTACAGGCGAGATCAGACGCAAGACTCTACTTCAAGATGGCAGGGTAGACGTGGAACCGTAAGTGTTTTAAGAAGTGTACAATCAGAGTGCGGTTTATCAAGGTGAACCATTTGTGGACACTACAGAGTTAACGCGTATGTGATCTCACTTGTATCAAGATTCGAAGTTCCTGGGTTATGACCCTTGGATAAGATAAGGTCCGAGGCCAAAATCGACACTGATGTCCCAAGTGTCCTCATACTTCCTCATGCAGTCGCTTTGAAGCCCTAGGCAAAATGGCCTGTGCTAGGCAAAAGGTCAATGGTGTTCAGTAGAGATCAGTGACCTTTCTTGAGCTTAAGAAGACGGGGGTGACCAAAAACCTTTACGATTCTTTCTTCAGTAATCCTGCGATGTTTGTTTTGGGGTCACTAAAGAAAATGTCAACACAAAATTGCAGCAGAACTGACAAGTGGCAGTGGCTCATTGGAGGGCTTGGCATTTGCAGCGCTGGCAAGCGCACTTCTCTCAAAGTTTTGGAATGTGAAGCAATGCTCCAAATGAAGTGGAAATCTGAAGAGCAAGTATGAACGCCCCTGATAGTACTTCATGCCTTGAAACCGGGTGTGCACATCCGGTTTCCGTTAGCAATCCCGGCAGCCAGGGTTCGTGTCGGTCAGAGAATCCCTTGGATGGTGTTGAATACATTCAGAAACATCACAAACACAAATGACCCGTGGACACTCCACCGCTTGTGGAAGGAAGCCCGCGAGCATTTGTCCCTATCTAGGTAGGAGGGTTTCAAGATCATTCCAGCGCTCTCCAGGCTTGAGTTTTGGGCGAATCCCTCAAAGTACTTTATACTACTGTTTCAAGATCACTTTAGTGATCTTAGCAAGAACTATATCAGTTGGTATTATTTTATTTTTTCCTTCCTAACGACGTTCAGTTGGAGAGAATCATGGCTCTGGTTGCTATGTTTACAGGGGGCTACACGAATAGCAGCGAAGTAACAGGATCCCTCAAGGTTGTTGACAAACGCGCTGCAGCAAAGACGAGAACCTAGAACTACCCCGCAGCACGAAGCCAATATGAACTGTACCCGATACTACCGGGAACGAGAGGCCGGGAGGTCCTGGTAGTTAAGGCATTGGCTGGAACACCAAAAAGGAAATCAAATAGGGATAATAATTCCTGCGTTCTGACATTCGTCACCTCTTAGTCAGCCGTATCGGCCCTAGAAACTCATTCAGCTGTGTATTTTGTGTGAAAGTGCCGAGTGAAGTCCGCAGCTGCTACGATTTATTTGTTTTTGGTGTGGGTGCAGGCGATCTGCAGACATAAATGGTCAAATTGGCATACTAAGGACAGGTACCTAGCTACTTGTATCAGAAAGTGGACAGAAGCATCTTTGCTGTCAGATTGTGATGGCACTCCATCCATTGGTTGAAGAGTACCTGAACATACCTCCTGTCACAAGGGCCTATACCACAGCATGCATCCTAACAACTCTGGCAGTGGTGAGTTTGGCTTGGGTAGTTATGGTGGAGGGAGTGGACTGACCTATTGCTCGTCACTCAGAGTTGTAGTGCATTCCCATGGTTTGAGTTAGAACAGTTTGTTTTGTGGGAAATGTCTGTAATTTTTCATGTATGTGTATATGAATATTTAAAAGAAGCATTACTAACTTAAAAGTAAGAATAGCAGTTGCTATCATTCACATAATTTCCAGCCTTTCAATAGATCATGTATGGGGTATGAAGTTATCATGATATAACAAGGGTATATGAGTATAATAAGATTAAATATATTCAGCCAATGTTGCTAGATATGGCAATGGTCACAGGTAACCAAATTAAATATGAATTTTCTGTGTGCAAACAGGACAGCCTTAAAAGTACAGAAATCATGTGATGAAAGGCCTGTTAGGCCCTGATCCACATCATTATAATTTGCAGAGGATATGCAAGCCCCATGATATTTGATAGCTGCTATTTTGGTGAAAGTGAAGTGATTATAAAATCATAGGATTAAGGTAGTTACTGCATCATCCTATTACGAAGGAGTTTTGAAAGCTATAGTGAGTCACATACAAATGAATGATCTTAGATGCCATAAGTGTACAGGTAAATATGTGTACAAAATATTACTTGGTGGGGTATAATGAACATCAGTGCATTCTGATCAGACATGTAGCATCAACTGCCTTCCAATAAAGAACAACACCAAATGCCTACCCTCAGAGTTTAAAATGCCTTTTGATGTTTTAGGCCTCTGGACATTACTGATCAGGTACCCCCACCCAACCTCCATGGTACCTCCATATCTGGGAGTTGGATAGGGTATCATATCATATTAACATGAGACTTTAGATGTCTGCCACAATTTTCCCATAACTCACATTACCAAGGCCAGAACTTTTAATCCATGACAGGCTGTTCTCCATCTGCCAGTTTTGCAAGATTAGGACTACAACTTAAATTGTGAATGTGTCTTCCAAAAAATGGTCTCAAAGTTAACATTGGAAACATAAGGTAAGTTAATGATTTTACTATTTGTTTCTGCTTTAACAGAACATTGCATGAGTAAGTTAGCAGATGAACAGTTAGACAGATTTGGACCCTGCCCCAGGATAAGATATATAGCAAATGAAAAGTTAGGGAGAAAGGCAGAAACTGCTTATTTATACTACAATGGTAACAAAATATTGTGCAGACTTGACTCAACAAATGAAACCAAAGGTCAGGAACTAGTCATTGTGTTGTCTGTTAGGGCTTGGCTTCAAGTGCTTGATATGAGTTTATTTTGTGTTATGTTGATCTGGGTGCGATCAGCACTATAGGACCGGGGCACACAGGACCTTGCACATTACATGCTCTCCTAGAGATGTGTGAATTCAAAGACATTTGTTGTCTGCAATGTCTCCAAAGTGTTTATTGAGTGTGACTGTGGGCTTTTAAGGCTTTGTATGGTATACAAGCTTTTTATGATATACAAGCTTGGGTTTATGGAATATATTTCACTTGGACATACCATCTTGTGAATGACAGTGACTTGCAAGGCTGATGCAGGTTTGACTGGCAAGGTGTTTGAATGGACTCAACTCTGCCTGTGACCATTATTGTACTGAAAACTTTACAAAGAAGTGATGATATGGTTCATAAGCCAGGGAAGGGCTGGAGAGAAGAGAGCTTTTGACAACATATAAGTGCAGTGTTTATCATGTGATTGGTGATTTGTTGTGAATTGTTTGTTATTGTGAATAATTGCTGATTTGTTTGATTACCTCATTGCTGCTTGATGATGATGTGTATTGAATATGTCTGTGTGGGAATTACAGATGCATTGAATCTGTTGCAGGAGCTGTGCTCTCTGTTTTATCCTTGCTCTACTACATAACTCAATGTACCCATGTTGTAACAAAGATGCCAGATTTTGTCTAATGGTCTTTGAGGCATCAAGAGTTTGACCAATATAAGTATTATATGTTGTTCATTTCAATCAAATTGAGTACCCCATTTCCATCACAAGAGTGTTAACAGACTGAGTGAAGGGTCTCTTGAAAATTACATGCAGTGTAAGGATGTGGCAGGTCTTTCCCCCCCCCCCCCTCCCCCACCTATAATCTTAAGAACTGTAAGAGGAAGAGAAACAAAACGCCTCATGTTGATACAGAGGGCTAAGTTGTGTAAAAAATCATGACACTAAGCTAATATCTTCATGGTCAAATAAAGTCAAATGTGTCAAATTAGATGTTTTGCACGGCTTGGCTTCTCATCCTTGTGAATCGTTGCAATATTGTTTAGATATGCTAAAATGTGACTAAGCTGTGTTGTTGACCTGATAAATGATGCCATCAAAATGTACCATTTGACCTCGTCATGTTCCGGAGTGGGTCGGTCGGTCGGCCACTTGATTGGCCGACTGGGAGGGCAGGCGACCGGGCGGGCGCAGTCGACTTTGCAAAGAAACAGCTGAAGTGCACCAATGGTAAATAATACAATTTGCAGTGCTTTGTGCCATAAGAACATAAGGTGCAAGTTGCCAGTATGTCTGGGAACAGCTTGGCAGAATAACCTGATTCACATAACAGTATTGGTGCCTATGACAACCATGAAGTTGACCTAGATTGATCCCACTGGCCTATCATGACCTCGACCTGAATTGATTTCATTGAGGCAACATGGCCTTTGCAGTACATCATATAGCAGTACAAAAACAGGAACCGTATTATACATCCTCTGTGGACCTCTTGAAGGTCACGATAGGTCGCTGACCTAAAATTACCCAGTTCAACATTGTGTTTTTAGGAACAAAGTGCCTAGCATAATCCTTGATACTTATTCAAATGGAAATAGCAAAGCAGACTTGTATGATGTTGGTCACCATGACCAAACAGTCGAATAAGGTCACCGCCCTTAAATGAGCGCCAGTGACGTCTGTCTTAGAACAGTTATCTAGGTGTACCGTGGCTGCACGAGGTATTGGGGCACTTTGGACACCAATCTGGAGTTCGACCTTGTTTGACCTTATTTTACTGAAAGGTCATGACCTAGGAGCCTCAAAAATTGGACACTGGTAAGTCTACCCATAGGTCAGCACACCCTGTAAATATGGTGTTTCTAGCTGTCTTAGTTTTTGAGATCTGAGGGGGGCGTCAAATTGCCCCCCCCCCCCCCCAGCCCCGCCCCACCCTACCGAAGGGTATTCAGCCGGCTACCCGGTCAAGTGTTAAAATGATAGCCCTAGTCCGTAGGGATAGCACAAAAATGCAACATTGAGTGTAATTCCAGAATGTTGTGGATCCTTGTGCATACCTGATCGCGGTGTATGACATGTTTTGTGTATTTCCAGCAACTGGACCTGGTATCACCATTTCAACTATACTTCAACCCAAACCTGATAGTCACACATTTCCAAGTAAGTTTAGACATTTTGATAAGCAGAGCAAGTACAGTGTCAAACCGAAGGTAATTGTTGGTGGCAGTCGATAGTAGTAAATCTCACCAGTGTATGCAAACGACAACACAGTTTGAGGTGTGGCAAAAGTCTTATGCTTGGGAATGGGCAGTATGCCTGCGTAGATCCTTTCCAGCCATTACCAAATCAATGACTTTGATGCTTATTCTATCCAACTTTTATGTGGAGGGCCACCATCTCTTTTAAGATTTGCAGCACTCGTCAGAATTTATGTTTTAGATTGCCACGTTTTCTTGTTCAGAAGGTACTATAAAGACTGCTTCATTATGTCCTAGTTACAAAGCTAGAAGTGAGAAGGAAGCATCATACACTATATAGCTGATTCCGCAGCCGGCAGCTTTGTGATTTTGTGGCGCCTTGAAGAGGCCTATAATTTTCAGCTGGGGAGCTGAAAATTATCGGCCTCCTCTATCGCTGATGGGGTCTGACCTCCTCCACAGGTATGGCGTATCGTCACCACATTTCTCTTCTTCGGTCCTGTCGGCTTCACCTTCCTCTTCAACCTGATCTTCACGTACCGCTACTGCCGGTATCTGGAGGACGGCTCGTTCCGCGGCCGCACGGCCGACTTCGTGCTCATGTTCGCGTTCGGCGCCGCCTGCATGGTGCTGTGCGCCCTGGTGGTCAACCTGCTCTTCCTGGGCCAGGCCTTCACCATCATGCTCGTCTACGTCTGGAGCAGACGCAATCGTGACATCCGGATGAATTTCTTCGGCCTCATGAACTTCCAGGTAATTGAACCTTGCATGGTGGGAGGTGCGAGGCGTTTACATTATGGAAGCGCACGGCCCGTCCTGCCGCCTGCAAAGCCGAGAACGCACGATAGGGGAGGGCCGTGATGTGACACAGTATAGACAATAACGAGCTGTCCATGGACGAATTATCCATTCGCTGTTTACCAACACGTTTTCCCTACTTTCAAGCAGTCTACTGCATAACCGCTTGTTCGCATGACCGAGCCGGGGGTGTAGTCTCGGAAAATAAGCAAGGGAGAGGAGCAGGAAAGTTGGCTAATCCTATCCAAAACGTACGTAAATATCATATAGAACGTTGCCTCAAGGTTGGTGGGGATCATTTAGGTACGTGGGGAAGACCTGTGGTGAGCGTGGTAATGGATGCAATTCATAGTATTTTTGAAGGATATTTGCTCATTATGCATGGCCCATTGGAATCAGGTACCCAAAATCTGAATAGTCGGGCGTTAGAAAGTGCGGCTGCCGCATTTTTCAACGCCTTTATTTAGGTTTTGAGGATAGCGCAGACCTTATCTAAAACTACTGTTCAGCTATTTTTGGACCAATTTTTCCTCCCATAACACGAGTACAGGTCACTCAGTGGAAGCCCCAATGAGATACTGGGAAGGTTCAGGTACAAAAATCTTCTTAGTGTGGCATTGGCGGCAGCAACGAAATAATGCGGGTAAGACGAACGTTCCTCCATTTAGAGAACAAACACGGTGTGACCGACGTATGCCGTCGCATACACACAAGTATGAAAGAAAGCACACGCTGTCGTTAGGGATCCACCTAAGTGGAGTGTATCACATTTGTACGGGTTTTGAACTGACAAAGCCGCCTTGAAGATGGTTCCGTGCAGTTTACAGCCTTGTTCATAAGACCTAGACCTGTCTGGTCTCAGACCCACACGCCCGCGAAGAAGTGCCGGATTTTTCTAGGGACGAGGGACCCAGGCATCCATGACGCCATAACGTCATTCAAACCCTGTTATTCCATCAGTCACGTGACGATCAAGGCCAATACAAATGTAATCGTTAAATGGTTCATGTCTCGTGTTCGTGAGCATGATTTCCAGATATACTGGTCGTCATTTGGTTCTCAATATTGTGCAATGTATGATGACGTAATCAAACAGTGACGCATTTAGGAGCATATATGCTAAACAGAGAAATTGTGTGGTCGAGGCCAACCTTTTCCACTGAAAAGCATACCAGTGATAACAAGTGAGCTTTTTAAATTGCATGTGATGCTTGCGTTGTATTCAGACGAGAGGCTGCAACAACCGCAAATTAATTGCGGGTAGTCTTAGTGAATATCTGAATCTAAATCTTAACATTTTTCAGAGACCATCTTGTTCGTTGTTTTTGTGTGCGAACATTGACGCAGGATTTTACCATTTTCATATCACTGCCTGGCACAAATGACTGGACAGTGGTATCCAGAAGCATTGTGTGGAGGGGCGATGTCGGTGCGCGCCGACAGTCAAACGCTATCGCCTGTTGCAGGCGCCCTACTTGCCGTGGGTTCTCCTGGGGTTCTCACTGCTGCTGGGGAACTCCATCGCGGTCGACATCATGGGCATTGCGGTCGGGCATGCGTACTTCTTCTTGGAGGACGTCTTCCCAAATCAGCCAGGCGGCTTCCGCATACTGCAAGTTCCTCGTAGCATGTAAGTTGTGTGGACTATGGCCCGCGTTCTCGCCACGAAACCGTCGCAGTGTTCTTGTTCTAGAGATCGTGTGATCTACGAACGGTCGTCTTAAAGTGTTCAGGAGTATGTTTTCCCTTTTCAAGAGTTGACCCTTCTCAACACTTTCTCGGTGCTGAACAAACGGAGCAGCCGAAAGCAAGGATTTTAAGGTGCTGAAACATGAGCTGGTTGGTGTTGTGTGCTTACAGTAAGTGGAGCTGGTAGTCGTAAACGCGCGGGTGTCGATATGTTTGTATTGAAGCCATCGCTGAATCCGTGGAGATGTGCCCTTTCCGTTCTGCCCAGCCCGGGTCGGGTGTTCTCCGCCTGACCTGTTCGGTCGCCGCAGTGTGGCCCTATTCGAGGGGGCCCCGCTGGACCCGACGTACGCGCCGCCGCCGGAGGAGCGGCCCGGCGGCTTCGACTGGGGCGCCCGGCCGCCGCCGGCCGACGGGCAGTGAGCCGCTGACCGGGACCATTGACTGGCTCTCCGACGGCACCGACGCGGCGCCCGGACCAGCTTCGTGGCCGCAGCCGTTGTACCAGCGGAAGCCGCAGCTGCCAGTCGTGCTTGTGATGCCGCGAAGGGGTCGGCCTGTGCTCGGGAGGGCGATCAGCTCTCGAGATCGCCGGTGCTCCGGATTGTGGCGGCTGGGGGCTGTGGGCTGCCCAATGGCGTCTGCTCTCAGAAACGCACGCGTGCCCACTGCCGAACCGCGTAACCCGTTGGAGCTGAGACCACAATCGACGCCCGCTTTAGCGGAATAATAGAGAAGGGCATAAAAGAAGAGCTGAGCTGCATCAGTTTGCACTTTCTTTGGTACTTCATGGTGTATGCTTAATATTGGGAGCTGTCTGGTGCACATCCGTTGCTTGTAAAGACAACACAATGTTTGCGTGGATATGGAAATGGAACACGAACCAATTACTTGTGTCTAGTGCGGGTGATTGACCTTTTCTCGCCGAGTGTGACGCACCGATCGCCATTTGCTTTGGATTCAAATATGACAATTTGTTGTGCTGTGCCGAACTAGGACACTTAGTTTATTTTTAGGGGAATCGCCGTTGTTTGAAGGTCTTATCCGATGAAAGCCAAAAAAAAAAAATTAAGCATCTTCTACTGCTGTGTTAACCTTTGAGCGGTGTTGTTTCTAAGCGTAAACCTGGTTGCGGGGGCTTAAGGTCGATAAAGCACATTCAGTTTGCCGTTGCTACCTTTTGTTCATGCATTTAGTCCCAACGTCCTGGTCGTCACCAAACGACTTATGGTCGTGTGTTATGGGTTGGCTTTGCCAGTTCGGCCTGCCTCCAAAAATAGACGGCAGATCGCGACTGATGACTCTGAATCCAGATGTGTATGGTGTACAGCCATTAATTCTCGCGCTGACAGGGAGGGGGGATCGGCAGCAGCGCAGCCAGAGCCTTGGAAAAATGGTACGCAGGGTTGACAAAGGGCCCCCCCCCCCCCCCCCCCCCCAAAAAAAAAAATTGATGTGGCCCACTTGTTTGTCGCAGACACGATTTCCTGTGTTTTATTTTTATAGCTGTATGAGATTGCGTGGAAGGGTAGTTTCTCGCGCTCATTTCGAGTATCCTAATGACAGGTACCGCAGCCGACATGTTCTGTGGACTCGAAGATATCAGGCTAGGTCACTGACCTTAAATGAATGCCACTGACCCTTTGCCCAAGAGAGGTATCTAGGTGCACGGCGGCTCCATGAGGACGTCTGGGTACATTTTGGACACCAATTAGGGGTTGACCTTGTTTGACCCATTTGACTCAAAGGTTATGACCCAAGAATATTAAATGTTAACATAAGTTAGTGCACATACAGGTCAACCAACTCTGTGAATTATTGTTTTCGACATCCCAGAGGGGTCAAATTAAAACCCCGCCCGAGCGAAGAGTACTCAACCGGCTACCCGGGCCCGTTTTAACTGGAACAGAAACCAGAAGCCACTGGGACATGCGACACTTTTTATTTTGAAGTCAGTAAACAAAAGAAAGCGAGTATTAAATGACTGCATTGAATAAATCACCGGCACTATTCATTTTACCATTGATGCTCTTTACTCTTTTTAGTACTTTATCTCAGCTGATAGGACTCGCGCAAGTTTGACATCATTTTTCCCTTGGTTATACAGATATTTTTAATACCCCGTGAACGTGGATCTTAGATCGAAATGAATTCCAAAATTATCAGTAACATGGACGAGCCATGTTCGTTTGGAAATGTTTAACCTTCAGTAAGGGTCGATTGTTGAAAAAATTAGTTAACATAGCGATGAACAGGCGCGCTCGCAAACAAAGCTTGGAATAAAAATCCCAAGCCCGGCATCGCAGCTTCGTAAGCCGCGCGGCACGCAACCCGAAGCGGACGTCAAACGGCGGTCGACAGGTGAGCAAATAAAATTGCACCTGAAAGGAGTACTGTTGAACGATTTACGACATCGATGCGTGCGTTAAGAGGGAAGTCTTGGCGTATATCCCACCTATGTTATTCTGGGATTGATGATGAGAACGAATTAGCATTTATATCACCGTGGACTGGGGATGGAATCTGGTGATGAAAGGATAGTCAGGGCGGAATATCTTTTTTGTGTTGCTATAACCGTTACTCAGCCAAGAGGACAACCTTAAAGTTATAAAGAGATACGCTCCAGTCTCATCTTCGAGCGGCACTACTTTATTGTGAAAGACATTCGGAAGCATGTCGCGGCTGTCATTCTCGCGCGCCTGGCACCCGCCGCTTGATGCTACTTGATCGACGCAAGAACACTCACTGGCGGAACAAGATCCCTTATCGACGGCAGGTGGTCGAATGCTTGGCACATAGACTCCAGTTCGGGCATATGGCTTGAATCGAATGGGCGGCTCCCCGCACTGGGGGCCCTTCCATTGTCTTAATGTGGACTCTCACAAGTTCTCACACCTCCTGTCACTGAGAGATCCGCGACCAACCCCAGAGGCCCTCTGGCATTTGCGACCCCGCTCTTGAACCTGTTCAACAAATGTTCCCTGACTGACTTGGGGACCCCTTGTCGACATAGGACCCTTTGCTAGGCACTGCAGGCCCATGGAGCGCACAGTGGTCCCTCATTGTTTCAGGGGCTCCGACCAATGCAAATTGCATGCCCCGGTCTTGTTCCTGCTTGAAAAATCGACCCTCATGAATCAGAATGACGCCGAGCTGACCAATCAGTGTAAGTGGTTTCTTGTCGAAAAAGAGGCTTTCAGTGTCCCAGGGGCACCCGATCGACGTAAAAGGTATTCTGATTGACATTTGAGGTCGCGGCGTTACGATCGTCCTCAATGTGACCTACAGGCAGGGCTTCAGGCCGTTCAGAATTGCAACCGGTGCCAATTTTTATGCCCGTTCGAGGCGCCAATATTTCAGGTGTCCAAGGAAAGGGGGTATGACCCATGCCCCCTCCCCCTTTGGATACGCCCCTGTCGACACAGGCCTCTTTTGCTCGGCACTCAGGGCCCCTGACGGACACACCGTCCCTCGTTGTTGGGGAGGCCCGACCGATGCAAGTCATTGGCCCCTGCTTTGTGCCAGCCTGGGAAATAGGTGTCCAGACCTGAGACCGACCCGCAACCGACAGTTCGTGTTGGTGGTTTTAACCGAAATAGAAGCCCATATTGTCCCAGCGGTTCCCAATCGGTGCAAGAGGCTCGCATTGTTTCAGGGACCCGACCAATGAAAATCTCGGGTCATGGCCTTGCTCCTGCTCAGTAAATGGGCACCCAAGGGCTTAAATCGAAACAGAACCAAGTGTTCAGTGTTGGGCTCAAAATCGTGGCCAGCTGGCAGCACCATTTGCCATTCATGTGTTAAAGGTAGTGTTTCGCATTGGAAGGAATCTAAGTAAGGATCAGATATGAGGAAATAAGCTATCTTTTGACTACTGGTGTCCTATTTTTAAGTGGAAAATAATATTTCAGAGAACACCTTTTTTCTTTAGTAAGTCTACTTTAGTAAGTCTACTTAGTAATCAGTGACTTTAGTAGTCCTTGCGATTTTACGATTTATCAATATTTCGGCTTGTAGCGGTGGACCATGCCCAGGGACAGTGTGTCAGCACGTAAGGCGGGTGGGGCGATGACTCATGTCTGAGTGAGAACAATCACGGCTCGGGGCAGCGCGTTACGGTGGCGCCGGCCAGTCGCGCGCAGATCGTATTGCGGGTATGAGCCTTGGAAGGAGTATAAAAGGTGCTGGTCGGGCGCGTAGGGTGGGTTTCTCCCTGTCGGCGTCGTGTGCGGCAGTTCACCGCTGCGTGTGAGGTAGTCCGACCGAGAATTATTTTAATCATCGAATACACGGCTATAATAGGCTATGCAGTGGTTGTTGTACATCTAGTTAGTAGCCTGACAACACGTAAAGTGTAACTTTTAAAATGTTCGCAGTGAAAATCTGGGAGGGTATGCCCAGCCTCAGGGCGCCAACGCTCGCCATTCAACCGTGTTTCATGTTCACGCACCTGAGGTTTGCATCATACCCATCTCGAACTGTGCGGTTTGATTAACGATATCCAAGCACGAGTCCACGTTTTTGGTAGGAACGTTATATGTATGCATGTGCGCATGCCAATGGGAAAGCTCTCATAACCTCCCAGTACTGAAAAACATAAAATTCCCCACTATCCACTAGATGGTCAGGAAGCTAGAAAGTAGCAAATACTTGTGCCTGGCAGAATGCCAGACCAGAAGGACGGCAATTAGGGTCTGAAAAGGAGGAAGGAATGCAGAAAAATTAGGAAGCAGCCAGATGTATGCTCGAGCCCATCTTTTTGTGACATCTAACGTGTCGGCAATGATACAATTTTTCCAGCTCCTTGTGAACAATGACATCAGCCCTCCACACAAGTGAAGGGTTTATGTCATTAGCATGTGCAGCTTCGGGGTCTTCTGAACTCCTTCCCGTGTGCTATTTGGGCCTGTCACTGTCTGCCGCCTGGGTCAGCGAACGCTGGAGAAGGAGAGTTGGCACGCAGGCATGCCGCTGTTGAGGAGAGTCGCCAGAGTTTGCCGCTGGGTGTCACCAAGGTCTGTCGATGCTGATGAAGGAGACCCCGGCATCGAGGTCCATCAAACCTCGTAAGCAAGCACTCGACCGCGTGACCTACCATATCGCCTAGATAAGTCCTAACTTGCCGTGCTGGGAACGGAGGCGATTGCCGTGTAGCCGTGACCACGCCGGCCCTGGCGCCGACGGCCCGCGGCCTGCGCGGTCGACCGGGTGACCATATCTGGCACGGGGTGGTGGATGGACCGACCAGCGCGACATCTGTGATCGGCCTCCTGAAGCTGCGTCACACTTCTCGCGCCGATCGCCTGTCGCCCGTCCCAATGCTGTACGGCCACCGCTCACAATCGCCCGTCCTATCGGACGTTCGCTTACGTATGGCTGAGGGCGCTGGATGTTGTGACCAGGCGATGACAGAGTTCCTGTACAGTCACAGCCTAGCGCTACGATGTCAGCTCGTAGGGCCCCAGCTCCAGCTCCTCCCTAGGTATTGGAAAGCACTTCCCCGTGCCCAGGAAGGTCTGTGTGACCAGTTAGGGGGAGACGTCAGCGGCTCCGGCAGGCGGTGAGACTACCTGGCTTGTTTGCCTTGGTATGCTTGCCTTGCGGTGCCTGGAGCCGCGACGACGACAACCGTTATGACGCTGCGTTTGGAACCCGTGATTGCCTGGACGTGACCGCGTCAGCAGTGCCATCCGCGAGGCGCGGACTGCGCCGATACCGGCGGTCCTCAGTAACTGTTGGTTAACTGGTCTGAACCGGTGCATCATTACGTGTAGCACCTAAGCGACAGTAGAAAAACCAATAGACCCAAAAGTACATTCGTTTTAAAACAGATATAACCATCCAACATTTAAATACAAATCTCCCCATTATTCTGCACTCATGTCTCACCTGTGGGCCGCGGAGAGGCAGCTCAGCGTGTACGATGAGGGCGCGCATGGCAGACGGACGGACGGCAGACAGCACGGCGTCCCGTGGCCGTCGCACAGAGTGAAGAAGTGAACGACCTTGCTACGATTCTGAGAGAGGTGTCCCGACCTGTTGTGCCGCATGGAGAGGTGTCCTACCAGTCCTGTCCTGTCGCTCCTGTTCTGCCAGTCGTGCAGCAGGTGTTCCGGCCTTCCGCACGGCTTGGATATTTGTATCAAGCTGTCGCGCCATGCAGTCAAACTACGGCGCTTGGAGGTGTCCCAGCCTGTTGCGCCGCTCTTGAGAGACGTCTTGGCCCGAATCTGTCGTACTTCGAAGGTCGTCCCGAGTCTTTGCGAAAGCAATTAGCCTGTCATGCTGTGATCT